AGAAAATGGATCAAGGCAGTTTGCGATCTAATTTATTAATAAAAAAATATAATTTATATGACAAATATTTATATTTATTTACTATTACAAGAATGTATTATACTTTACATGTATGTAATTTAATTTATGGTAATTTCTATAGTAGAAATATACTTTTAAAAAATGTATGTATTATAAATACAGTAATTTTGGATTAATAAAACAGCTAATGAATCCAATAAATTGAATAAACTTTATGGAATAATTCCTTATATGGAACCTGAAATTTTGCATGGTAAATCATACACAAAAACTGCTGATATATATTCTCTTAGCATTATAATGTAGGAAATGACTCCTTATATTCTCACTTTTATTATTATACCTCATGATTTTAATCTTTCCTTAGATATTTTTAAAGGAAAAAAACTAGCAGTTTTTAAAGATACTATGACTGAATATGCAGAATTAATGAAAAGATGTTAGAATCCAAATGCTAGTAACAGACCATCTGCTAAAGAATAAGTAAGATACTTTGTTAAATAGAAGAATGTATATAATTATGAATTTTAAAAAGAAATTCTATACAGGTAAAATAAATTTCAAAATAACAATTTTTTTTATATAATTTAGTATTGTAAAAAAAACAAAGGTCTGCCTAAACGTACCGCAGAATTATCATGTAACAAACAATAACCTGTCTAACCTGACCCGCTCGCATTAATTACATTCAAATAGAGATTTTATAGTGCTGCAGTCTTTTTTGAGTCAAGCTTCAGCAATATAATTAATTGACATTTTCTGAAAAAAGTATAGACGCAATGAGCATCATGAAAAGACTGTTTTCCAGTATATATTCTAAATTTGTATTTTTAATTTATATATAGTATAGTACGTCAGTTTATAAATCCCCCTTTTTTTAGGAAAATAGAAATTCCATTCCAAAATTCAAAATATAACCGCAAAGTTACACCGCCATAAATATCCAAAAAATAAAATAATAAATATGTGGAAAGACTTTATTAATATGATTTGTACAAAAAAATAGATTCTGCAAGTAATTTTTTTTACCTTCTACGCTTCAAAAAATATTTTAAGATTACTGTAGGTCAATGAATATAACGATTACATAATTGTAAGTATAAAAATTCGTTTTTATTCAAAAAAAAACTTAAAAAACATATGAATATGTTTACCATCGCGTCGGCCGGCGACCAAATATTTATAAATAAAAGTTTCGGGGCTTTTAATGGAAGTACTGTAATTGTTTGATATCAGAAATTTTATGTCACAAATAATTCATATCCAACGTGTTCATTATCATCTCAAGAGTTAAATAATAATTACTTACGGGAAAATCATTCACAGCGGATATTCCCGGACTCCAAGGCAATTGCTATGCTTACAGCTAATTTCAAAAGTTGCGGACATGTAAATTTTTTATCGGCACTGTCGGATTGTTCGGGAATGTCGGAAATGTCGGTGCCAATCAAATTACAGTATTAGCGCCACGAATATTTTTTTTCTATAAAGGACTATATGTATTTTAAACTTCTATACGTGGACATAAACAATCATTTCACATAGTAAAAAAATGAGAGGAAGTTTAATGAACTATTCATTGTTAAAGTTACAGCTAATTTCATAAGTCACGGGACAGCCGATAATAACCGAGACTTTTCCGAGAACGTTTATAAGGAGTTGAAAAGCCAACCACAGTTTTATATAGGTAAAAAAATTATGTCGCTATATTCGGAACAATGATTTGAACGTAGCGAAAATGTTTTTTCTTCAAAATATTCTATACCGAGTTTTACCGAAAATTGAATACGTATTTATTTATATTTGATTGGTTCTAACTGATTTATAAATTTGATTGGCTCCGAGAAATTTCTAATCATTTGATTGGCATCGACATTCCCGAACAATCCGACAGTGCATATCGAATCCGATTCCAACCTATTTTTTTTTTTATCATATCGTCTCGTCGCAAATCAAAAAAATGTAGATTGCTTAATAAATTATACATACAGTATATATACCTGGTGTGGTTACATGATAATACGATCTCGGCGCTAAATATTTAAATATTAATACTATCAAACATCAATGTTAGTTGTTTTTAACTCATTTCAAATTATTTTCTATGAAAGAAAATAACTTGTTCCTTTTTACCATCAACTAGTTCATATTTTAATTTAAAAGCAAACTTTTGATTAACTAAATTACGGTTTTTTATTTTAAAAAAAAAGAGATTAATTTAGTTTCTGCTTTTAATTTTGAAGCAGTCATCAAAAATCACCGGAAATCCAGATTTAATTCGAACTGGATAATCTGTATTTATCAAATCCGGTTCCAACCTTTAGAAAGTTTAATGGATGAAAGAAGAAGATAGGGACTTTAAATGAAGAAAATATTAATTAGGAGATAAATGATTTTCTATATGTAAATTTTTTGAATTTTTTTTTATCTTTTATAAATATGATATTATAAAAGAAATGACCTTTGATATATACATACGATTTGCTCATCTCGTAAAACAAAAATAGTAAATTTTTAAAATTCAAGAATTGTATTTTAATAACGATGGGTTTTGCCATCCGTCGAAACTTTTGCCACCCGTCGAAACTTTCGCAATTTTGCTTTTAATAATAATATTTGGCAAAACGTTTCGACGGGTTTCGATTTCGATGCCTGTCGAAACCTCCGGGTTTTGCCTGGCAACCTTAAATGTGGTTAAATATTTTTTTTGAATTTTTCACATTCCGCACATTCATAGTTTGATTATGTTCTAAACCGGACCGGACCGGACTTCAGAATATGGCAAGGACCGGTCCCGCTAACCGGTCTGGGACCGGTCCTACCAGGACCAATTCATCCCTAAGGAGAAGGCAAATCTAAAAGAATTTATTCTAATGGTAATAAATTGTTTTACGAATTGCAATTCAATAATGCTTATTTATCATTAAATTTTTTTTTTGTTATAAATTGGAGACTTATATTAAATTTAAACTTAATAATAATATCTATTATTATTGCAAGTTATTAAATTCTTCATTTTTAGATATTTTAAATTAAATATTACTTTAGGAATTCATATAAAATTCGATAATATATTAAAAGAAATTGCAATTAAATGATAGTGAGGATATAACTAATTTATGAACAATACAATTTATTTTATTATCTAATTTAATAATTAATTATTAAGCCGTACCGTAAAAGATGACATATATAATTTCATTCGGGAGATAAAGATATCTTTTGTGGTTAAGTAAGTTACTGAATGGTTATTGAGATAAGTATTTATTAAAATATTTGATTTTTGGGCACTATAATTATCTGGTTTGGTAATTTAAATGTTTAATTATAAAAATTAGAAAAGTATTTTGCCATTTGTATTAATAAAATTTTTAAAACTCGATAAATTAAACTTTTCTTTATTCAAAAAGAACAAAATTAAAAATTAAATCACATGGTTGTTTCACAATAGAACAATTATTCATTTTTTTTTTCATGAAAATGGGCTAAATGATAGTATGATTAAAAAAAATATTAATTATATTTTTCTTTAATTTAGGTGAAAGAATAATTATTAATTAATAAAGATCTTGTCTAGTTTCTTTTATTTAAAAAAAAAAAATTAAAAATGCGACCGATAAACATTTTTTTTAGGAACAAAAAAAAGTTATTTTTTAAAAAAGTAAGTTCAACTATTCGTAGACTAAATTTATTCGATATTTATGCCCGTAAAAAGTGTATTATGTAAAAAACGTATGAATTAACTTATAGTCTATGTGAAATTTGGTATATAAAGACTAATTTCAATATATGAATTTATTACTATTTTACCATAAGGAAAAGATGGAGGAAACTTCTAGTGATATCAATATTCTAGTTTGTAAATGAGATGAATTCTAATGCAACATATAAAATAATGTTCAAAATGATATTTATGCGTAAAAATCCAATTGAAAATCTGATAATATAAAAATGAAAAGAAACATATACTGATAAAAATAATTCAATTTACTTTCTAAAAATACTAAAAAAGTTCATAATGAAATTTGTAACCTTAAAACTACAATTTCTAATAAAGGCTCCAATAGGACCAACTGGAGTAGACAATTGAAATGCCGTAGATCTAGATTTTAACACGTTGACGGTTGATCTTTTTCGCATTTCTTTTTCATATTCTTGATATTGTCTTCGTCGAGTCGGATTATAAGTTTTAAATTGAAATTTTTCTGGATCATTTGGAGTTGATTTAGGAACCAAGTCCCAAAATTCTAATACAATATCATCAAATTCGCATCCGGATCCAAAATTTCGAATCATCTGCTTGACATGTTCAATGACTGATGCTGAATCATTATCATCAACTTTGATTTTATCGGATTCAAAGTCTAATTTTGTGGGATACGAATAATTCAAGGTTACTCTGTAATGAGGCTCATTAGAATTACTTTTATTCTCGTAACCTGGCTCTTGCTCGATTGGAATTAGACGAAAAAGAAGCGTTGACGAATCACCATGTAAACCGAGAGACTTTTGGAATAAACTATTTCCTTGTAACTTTATGAACCTGTCCATAAGATTCTTAGGTGCAGCAACATTTGCTACGACATTTGTTATTTCAAAATCGAAAATTTGTAATTTGGGTAGTCTCAGTTTTCGAACTAAAAAGAAACGTTAGAAAAAACACAAATTAATTTTTTGTTCTATTTTAATCAAGGGAATTTTGAGGAAGATTTAGGCCTACCTGGAGAATTAATTCCATCTGCGCCAACTAAGATATCACAAAAATCTTGCGAACCATCATCAAACATTACACAAACACCATCTTTAGTTTCTTCGTATCTAATGCATTTTTTCCCCCAGGTAACAGGTACACCTTCTAATAATACATCTCTAAGTCTATCACGATAAGTAATCATCACGGAAAGTTCATCTGGAACTTTTACAAGTTCGTTAAAGTCTTTAAATTGTTTAGATGGTGGATGTAATAAAGAGTTCCTTTATTATCGATAAGCGATGCGCCATGAAATTCTACGTTGGGAATTGGATTTGGCATCGCTTTTTGAAGGATTGAAGTGATCGAAGATGGTACACAATTCAAAAGCGATCGAGTTCCGAGATAGTTCAACGCTATATGATATCCTTGCCATCTTTCTATTTAATTTACGAATTTAATTCGAGTTAGTTTACGGATTTTAAAAAGAACAGGACTCTTATACCTACCTTTTGGACTAGAATCCCTTTCGAAGATTTTTACATCGAATTCTTTTTTATCTTTGTTCTTTATCAACGCATGATAAAGAGCAAGTCCTCCTGGACCTGCACCGATAATAATAACTTTTGGAATTTTTGCGTGCTGCATTTCTTAGGTGTTAAAATTATATTTTATCAATATAGTTTAAATTTTAAAATTTATGTTTTAATATATAAATAAAATCTTTTAAAGTATTGAAATTATTTTTCAAGATGGGATTGCTAAAATATATAATCTTTTGATTATTTATTAAACGCGTTGTTTTTGTGTTCACGAGCTAATGAGGAATATTTATAAAAAAATTGATGCCAATTAAGTATATATTGGTTATTCTACGTGATGCATATATTTAGCCAACAATTAATGCGCGAATTTTTTTGTTAGCAAAGAATAATTTTTGTACAACAATAATGTACTTTTTAGCGGTTATTGTTTTTCATTTCGATGTTTCGGTACTTAATTATCCGTTCGGCTCTCATTATGCAAATAGCAAATGAATTCCTTTATCATTGATTAAATAGGTATAAGGAATAATTCTGTGTTCTATTTAAAAATTTAAGTTCTGAATGGATGTTCTTTATTGTTTGTATTACAAATGACCTTATTTTACAATGAGTGAATATTATTAAATAAATATATTATCGTATGCAATTTTTTTTATTCAAAATTCATTTTTATGACTCGTTCATTATTTTCAAATTTTATATTACTGTTTACTGATAAAAATAAACGGAAAAATGGTTTGCCTTCAAATACACCTTAGCTAATGAACTGTAAAAATGTGTATTTCTCGTTTTCATTTCCAAATAACTAATATAATATTGATTGACTTCCAAATTTGGCCTATTGGCTTTCATCATTACAGTAAAGAAAATGGAAGGAAATAAATGTTCACACGATCAAATTGAAAGTTTGCGGCTATCCTTTTTTTTCCTTTACAAAGAAACAAAGAAGCGGACAAGTTTTTGATCAATTCTTTCTCATCGTACCTCATAGTACCTTATACAAAATAATGACCAAGTTAAATATTCTGTTCTTTTTCGTAGCCCTTTCACAAAAAAAATCTCATAATGAACCGCGCCCACCTTGAATAAACTGTCACGATTTTATCTTTCTTTTAGCGAACTAACTTCTAAAAACTTTGTTCCTGCCGTAGCTGATATCTGGATTTCAAATCTTAACGCGCTGGTAGGCTCTTTATTCTTTTTATTTAATGTAGTACTTTGCAGAAACTTTTCAAATCAAAACCATATCGTAACCAAGTCGAAAATTTATTGTAAACCTTATAATCAAGATCTGGTCACGATATGGTATCACAACGTCATGATAATGTAAAGTTAAGCCTGCATCGATCCAGCCTTCTAAGAACCTACCTATTGATTTTGTAAATGTGTAATTTCGCTAACTTTATAGTTCTCATTTTTATGTTTTAAAGTAATATAATTTAATCTTTTTACTGAATTTTGCAAAATTTTTTATCAAGTTGTTAATATATTTTTGTTAAGTTCATACCATCTAAAAAAAATAATAATAATGAATAATAAAATAAGAATGGTCACGGTACGTTTCGCCGAAACCCGTTCCGCCGAAACCCCCTTTGCCGAAGCAAATTCACTGAACGGCCACTTCGTCGAATGTCCATTTCGCCGAATGGACTTTTCACCGAAAAGAAGTTTCGCCGAATGAACATTTCACCGAGAGGACGCTTCGCCGAAATGACGTTTTGCCGAATGGACACTTCTCCGAATCCGTTTCACCGAAAGGACATTTCGCCGAAAACGAAATAATTCGCTGTTGGTTATTAGAAATTTGCCAGATTTATTGAACTTTTTTTATTATTTCCAACGAAATTTTTAAGAAAAAATTTGCTTTTTAATGTAGAACCTAAAAATGATAAGTTAAACAAATGTTATGCAGTAGTCATTTTAGGCGAAATGTTCTTTCGGTGAAACGGATTCGGCGATGTGTCCGTTCGGCAAAAGGATTCGGCAAAATGGATTTTCGGCGAAGTGTCCTTTCGGCGAAAACGTCTTCCGGTGAAAAGTCCATTCGGCGAAGTGGTCGTTCGGCGAAGAGTTCTTTCGGTGAATTAGCTTCGGAGAAGTGGGTTTCGGCGAAACGGATTCGGCGGAACGTTCGGATACCGTATACATGTACATATGTGACGTTCCTTGTAAAAAATAATTGCTAGCTATTCGGCCATATACTGCGTCATCAATTTGTGTAAGTACCGGGAAAGGACAAAAGTATAGAACGGTCAAGAATTAGATAATTTTGTAAATTTTTTATAAGTAACTATATTATATTTTTTAATAACATATTAGCTAACTATTACATTTTGTTCATTGTTTGATTTAGAGTAATGCAAGGTGTAAAATCTAATTTGAAAAAACTCTCTACTTTTCAATTCTTCGCATTGCTAGGTATAAAAAATAATCTGAATTCGAAAGCTCTTTGTGGCCACGTTGAGTGGGGGCGTCATATGAAGAATTCTTGAAGAGAGTTTCTATGATGAAGGTCAACTGATTCGTGCAATTTTATTCATAAAAATATAAATTTTTTTTGGATTGTTTACTCATTAGTGTTTTTGTTCTATCTGTATACGTTCTTCCCATTTTCCTGGAAGTTTATATGATAAATCATCGAATTTTAAAGCTCATCGCGGCTATGGTTACAAATGACTGTGAACGTTCTTCGTTTTTGACGATAATGACGCATGTACTAATATTTTACAGTATTATTTATTTTTTAGTGATCCAGAATAGTAATCAAATATAATGATATTTGTATTTTTATTATTATTTTCTTTTTTGGCAAGTATTTTAATTATTCAAACGGAGAAAATTTTCTATATAAGTAATTGCATTTTTTTTTTTTTTTTTTAGAACCTAGTAAGAGTTTAATATTCTATGTAACTGACTATTTATTTATTCAGTATAAAAATAAAAAATAATTTTTTTTGAGATTAGCGTCACGTGTAATATGTTGAATTGAAGCAAAATATGTACAGTTAAAGAATATTTTAAACTAATATTATACATATAAGCATTATTTGCAAATGCGTGCAATATTTTTCGATTGGGAATTCTAGGTTGATCGAAGTTAAAAAGGATTTGATTTTATTATTTCTGTTTGCATTCATTCTTTACGCATTTAATTGATTTGATAAAGTCAAAATAAAAGAGTTAAATTTGGTTGTTATTGACAGTTAGTTGAACTTTTTAAGTAGATGATTTGATTTCAAACGTGAGTAGACCAAGTCATTGTTGAAATGTCGAATTAAATTATATATAATCTACTTTCATATTAACTTAATTACTTTCTATTTCTGTAGTAATATATTTTTCGTTATCAGTAGTGGGTTTATGATTCTGAACTTGAATTAATATTCTATGAACAAATAAGCTTATTTATTTATTTTTTATTTATTTATTTTTTCGTATATTATAAAAACGTGATATACAGTGGCGCTCAAAAGTATTGCATCACCTGAATACAAATTTTAAAATGGCATTTTCTTGTGTTTAAGACGGCGCAGTGTCATATAAATTATTTATTAGACTTATTATAACCAAGTCTATTCAATATATGAAAATCGGTT